GTTGTATAGTATTATTTTGTATGAAAACCTCTGGCTACCACTAGTAATGTATAGTAGTTCTATTAATTAAAATAAAACTAATGAAGAATGAAATACCGTAAACAAATGGTTAGTTTATACTGTTGTGAGTTTGGTATAACCATGCTTGATATGACCTAGTGACCACTACGACGTTCTTCAAGCATCGGAACGGTATGATATTTGTCACCCCAGGCAAGATGCCTAACTGTAGCTAACAGTTCAGGTGTGGGATTATCAATCCCATATAGATCTATACACAAATCTCATGCTCTCTCTCCAAGAGACTCTGGTTATATTGCAGTAGGATTTAGTTACGCACTCCGAAGGGGTACAATTAAAGTAATGTCTCACAACTCTGTATTAACTAGTTTACATGTAGTATTGTAGTGTTCTCTTGTATTTGAACCTGTATGTATAACTTGTATAGTACAAATAATTATACTTAAATAATTATGTAGTATTGTACTCTTGCATTCGGAGGATAGTAATGTATACCATAAACTATATTTATCATAGTTTATATTTTCGTATCTGTATAAAGTTCTTGAATTGGTAAAACTATGTAATGAATCCCAAACTATACCCATTATAGTTTGCATGTATGTTGTGTATTGTATTGAAAAACTTTGTAATTATGGTTATATGTTGAAAACTTCCCTTATGTTCAGCATGTTACAAAAGGGATAAAATATCTGAATATTTTATAAAAAGTAGTGACTTCTTGTTTGTGTCAATTGCATAAGTTTTTTAATTTGTTTGAAACCCTTTGTATAAGAACTCAAAATTTCTTGTATTTCGCTTGTATCCCCCCCCCCCCCTTTCCGAAAACGTTGAAAACAGTAAAAGTGTAGGGGTATGAACTCACAATCGGTTATGTGCACGATATTCTAATGATAATTAACACATAATTGTATTTAGATTAGCGAAACCATTAATTAAAGTGTTAGAAAACACTTGCTTTTGTGTTGGGAATAGTTACCGAAAATGGCTTGCAGTGGAAGGAAGGGTTTTCGGTCAAGTTCAACCCCAGAACAAGATTCTCGGTTCAAGTGAGTTTTCGGTCAGAAACTGTTTTCGGCCGTGAACTGGTTTTCGGCCGAAATCAAGTGTTCGGTTATGCTGGTGTTTTCGGCTCCTTGAAGATATGAAGGCTGTTCTTGGTGTTCTTGAGGAAAAATATGAAGATTTGAAGTTTCCTTTTTGAAGATGAGAGTGTTCTTGGATGATCCTTGTGAGAGAAATGGAAGAGTTTTCGAGTGAAAAGAGTGAAAAATGAAGGATTTTCGAAAGAAAAACCTTTATATCGGTTGGGTTTTTGGCCGGAGATGGGTTCTCGGCCAAGAGCCGTTTTTGGCCCGAGGCTTTTGGCTGAAAACACAAAATTGAACAAGTTTTGATGTTTTTCGAGGGAAAGCTTGATTTTTTAAGTGTTTTTGGTCCCGAAACTTATATAACTTTTATTTATATAATTTAAATGGTTTTCTAACCCTTACGAACTTAACAGAAATATATAAAATTTGAAATTTTATTTAATGAAATTGACTTTTGCTGACTTGAAAAGTATCTGGTTGTCACTATATATATATATATATATATATATATATATATATATATATATATAGAAAACTTTAAAAACGATGTAGTTTATACCTTCATTATCTTGAGTCTCATAAACAAAAATAGCAGCCTAATCTTTGTGTTGTTTTAGTGAAGCCCATCTCTCGTTTGACTCAACCAATTCAACCCGTACTCACTACTTCAACCACAACTTCGACAACTACAGTTGAACCTGATCTTGATCAAGCAAAAACAACTTTTGAAGTTGGGAGCTCTGAGCATGTATCCCCTACAAGGTATGGGCATGATATTGCCTCGGAAAGGCTTTCCAGGTTCTTGGCTGAAAATGAAGCAGATCTTCCTTCTCGCGGTAAAGGTATATCTATAGAGGAAGGCAACTTGAAGGGGGATGATTCATCAAATCCAGAGCTCAAGGAGGAGATTACTGTACTCAAACAGCAAATACTCACTACTTCAACCACAACTTCGACAACTACAGTTGAACCTGATCTTGATCAAGCAAAAACAACTTTTGAAGTTGGGAGCTCTGAGCATGTATCCCCTACAAGGTATGGGCATGATATTGCCTCGGAAAGGCTTTCCAGGTTCTTGGCTGAAAATGAAGCAGATCTTCCTTCTCGCGGTAAAGGTATATCTATAGAGGAAGGCAACTTGAAGGGGGATGATTCATCAAATCCAGAGCTCAAGGAGGAGATTACTGTACTCAAACAGCAAATAATCGAAAAGGATCTTCAAATTGAGGACCTTGATGCTTGTCTCTCTGTGCTTGAAGCTGAAAGTTCCTTGAAGACTGATCAAATTTCAGCACTTCAGCAAGAAAATGCTCAAAAATCCAAACAAATGTCTGATCTTCAAATCAACCTTGGTGCTCTTTCAGCTAGCTACTTTGATCTGAAGAATAGACTTATCGCTGACTTTGGAGATAAGTTTCAGTCAACAGTTGAAGGCCCAAGTGTTTCTCAAGCTCCTACAACTGCACCAGCCACTACTCCAACTTTCGAACAAACTGATAATGTGTCGATTAAAACTACAACGGTCATTGACCGGTTTGAGAAGGAACCAACTCAAGCTCCACCCCGAATCACTATCAAGAGAGGAGGGAGAACAGTTACGTCCCAAAAAAGGGGGGGTTTACTCTTTATGAAGAATTATGACCAGAATATTCGTGGAGATCAACCTCAACTAACGGTGACTGACCTGGAAAAGAAAAAGTTACAGCATAAATACGGAGATCAGTCAGGAATCCGCATGTGGGGATTTCATGATAGAATCAATTGTTGGCTGGTTAAGAGGAGAAGTAACACAGCGGAGTATTACAAACATCATAATGACTTCTCCTCACTAATCAAGGTGGATCTTGTTGAACTATCCGTTGTTCCCTTCTACAATCCCTCCAATAATCTGCAGGCGATAACTTTCAAACTTTTATTGGAAAATCAGGTGAGGAGAGGATTCGATAATATGAAGACTGCTGAATCGTTTCTGAAGACTTCCAAACATGTGTTTGACCCGACCACCAAGAAGGTTATTAAAAACGTCATGTGGCCTCCTACGAAGCAGTTGACAAATATTCCTATCATTAAAAAAAATTGTGATGGTTCTTTGCACAATATGTTGTACTGGGTATATGATGAATCTACGACATTTGCAGTTATCAAGTTTAAAGATGGTGTATTTCGTCTGATCAATAAAAGAGATCTTCTACAATTTGGTGAGAGAGACATTCACACGTTGGTGGCTCATCAAATCATTTGTTAGCAAGAAGTTCTAGAGCCAGCTGCTAAAGAATTCACAAGCATGATCTCTGAAATTATCAGCAAGAAGACGTGGCTGGGGGCAATGGGAAGATCGGATGTGTTGGTCGTTGAGAAGAATTGAGCTTATGCTAGCCTCAAACCAAGGGGGAGAGTGAAAGGTCATTATTTTGTGGTTTGGGCTAGGCAATCATTTGTATAAGTCTTGTTAGGTTCTTGGTTGTGGTTTTAGCTATTTTGTTGAGTTTATGATCAGTATTGTGTATACGACCGTAAACAGGTTTACAGTCGTAAACATGTTTACGACCAACCTACCCCTATATATAGGGTGTGTCAGATTCGTGTTAGGTTGTTGACGAATCAGAGAGTCTTTATAGTTTACAACCCCAGGGTGTATCAGACGTTTATTTGATATATAAAACGTGTGCATGCTTGGATTGATTATGTTCTCTACTACATTCTTATTTGATCGATTGGTATTTGTTTGATTACTGTTGGATTCACTGTTTTGGGACTTACAAACCCGATGGTTGACTAGACTCACAGTATGTTGTTTGTGATTCTATGTGTATTGCTGTGAGTATGGGTATTTTGGGGGAACTCACTAAGATTTCGGGCTTACAGTTTCAGTTTATTGTTTTAGGTACATCGGGGGATCGCGGTAAGGCAAATGCGTGATCATACAATTCCTCACATTTTTGTTATGGTTTCTAGGAAAACTCATATATAGACTATTTTGGAAACAAAATTATAATAACTATTGATTTAAAGTGTTTTTGAAAAGTTTAATTTCGGTTCGAATTTTTTGGGTGTTACAAAAATACGTAAAGATATACATATAAAAAACATAAAAATACAATAATACAAAAAAATAGATATAGATATGTAAAAAAATATGTTTATAAATTACATAAAAATATGGACGAAATCTGCAAAAAATCTCATTATTTTCGAAAAATTAACAATTTTGCTTCATGACCTGCCGAACATGTCAAAAATAGCTAAAGTGAATAAATTAACCGATTTATTGGGCTTTTCTATTCAAAATGTGAAAAAATCACAACTTTTTTTGTTCAAAAAATAAAATTTAAGCCTTTATTGGAACTTTGTCCAAAATATTGGAACTTTTTTAGAGATATTCCTATTCGGAGAGGTTTTCATTGTGGATTTCACCTTGTAATTTACCTTTTATACAAACTATTTTTCAATTTCATTATTTTAAATGTTTTCTTATATATAGCATTACAAATTACAAATAGGGCACCTGAATCCTCCTATAATACATCCATTTCAAGTACACATGTTCACTTTTATCTTTTTTATTGAAGTATTTTTCAGTTTATTTTTTTTTAATGTTTTATTATTAATAACATTACAAAGAGGGTACCCGATACACATGTGCAACTGCATAAACCACCCCTACATGTTTCAAATATACATATACATTCAACATTATCGTTTCTAATTTTAATTTTCAAAATATTTGTGGACTAGAGACATTTTTCCATTAGTATAAACAAACTTCTAGCCATGAAGAAGCCAAAAGGCTCACTTTCACCTCTACATTTCACTTGCTACTTGATACAACAACAATACTCATATATTACAAACTTCTATTAAAAGCTTGTTTTCAAAAGATTTAAACCAAAAACAATGTAAACTTGTGATTCATTGTCTTTTAACTAACTTCCGAAAAATCCGGTTCTTCTGGTTTCTGCAACTTAAGCCTATTCGCCATCCCCCTTCTCGTATTCGCCGCAAATCTTGACGCCAAAATTGTCACCCCAAGGTTTGACTTTACTTGACCACCTGCCACACCACCACCACCAACACCACCACCCGCTTCTTCTTCTTCACCCTCACGTTCTTCCTCATCCTCATGCTCTTGTTCATCATGGTCAACAAAAGACTCCATGGTCAACAAATTCTTCGCCATCACCCTCCTTTTATACCGCCTCCACGCCGCCTGAATAAAACAAGCCGCCCAAGTCCGCCAATGATGCGAATAATGCCTAAAAGTATGTTGCAACTTCTTACTATGCAATCTTCTAAATTGATTAGCCACAAATTTCAAATCTTCTGCTCTTAACGCAAACGCTTCAACTTCCGTGAGTGATCTAACGGTTCTTGTCGATGATGGTAAGTTGACCGTTGACTTCGGGTGTAGGGCCCACGCGAGAAGCTCTTCACCACAAAAGTCACCCGGCCGCATAATAATCGAATTGAAGAACCCCGTTCGGCCTCCATTCGTTGTTGAGCTTTCGAGGCGGCCCCGGATTATAAAAAACATTTCGGTTACAGGGTCGCCTTCGCGGACTATGTACGCGCCTTCCGTGCTTAAAGAGGACACGAGACGTTCGCAGATTGCATCGAGTAATTGGTCATCCATTTGCGAGAAAAACGGGACCTACCATATCAAAATAATGCAGTGTGATGAGAATTTTGTATATACCCTTCTTAAACATCAAAATATCAATGGTAATATTTAAAATATCCTCCATCTATAACATGACAATATTTAACAATAACAAAACCAAGCAATCAATGCATGCATTACATGGAGAGGGCTGAAGATGAAGCGTTTTGTTTATCAATAGAGCGAAATTCCAACAATTTAGAAATAGACGTCCCATTAGTATAGAGTTAGGGATAATATGGTTAAAAATTTTAAGGGAAATATACAAAAAAAGTCTCAAACTTTTAAAAAAAGTTTCATTAAAGTCCTAAAAGTTTTTTTTAAACAGAAAAGTCCCATTATTTTGAGAAAATCATATAATTTGTCATTTGCTGTTCAAATATAAAAAATAACTTTTTCGTTAATTTGGGCAAAATGTTAAATAATCGGGACTTTTCTGTTAAAAAAAAAAAAAAAACTTTTAGGACTTTATTGAAACTTTTCCCAAAAGTTTGGGACTTTTCTGTAGATTTCGCAATTTTTAATTATTATAATAATTCTAAGATATAAAAAATGATTATAAATTATTAAAAGCATTGTAAATTTTTTTTGGGCAAATATGATATTAAGAAATTAAGTTGGACAAATATGATATTTTGATGTTTAAGAAGGACATGATAGCAATAATCCTTGATACTGCTAGGCCAGATGCCCTTTGGTGTAAGGAAATGTAAATAGTTTGATATTATGCATGAAAAGAAGTTATTAAAGATTTGGAAAATATACCCGACGAACGAGGTCTAAGCATAGGTGGCGTTGAATATCCCTACGAAGATCCGCGGGTAATCCATTAAGGATAACATCTTCATGGACTCCACGGGTCGCCACCCACTTGTATTGAACAAAACGCCGAACACGTTTTCTCAAATCTTCTGGAAGCTGACGATGCCTCATCCATTCCTCTGTGTCTCTTCGCCTGAGTCTCCATTCCTCAAGTCTCATTGTTAATGACTGCAAATAGGTCTACATAACAAACGCCAATTAGAGCTAAATGAAACAAATTGCAACGTACTATTGTTAAAGTTACTTAATTTTAGTAACAATCACTTAAATGCCAAAAAAGAGATTTAGAAATAATCTATCAAGGGAATCTTGCATTTTTTTTTGGGTATACTTGAAACAATATTTGTTGTAGTTATTTAATGGATGGGAATATTAAGCAGTATGAATGTAGACTTATTAATGCATGAATCTTTTTTCTTAAAGAGAGATTATGTGGATTAAATTTACACGACTTAAAAAAAGTAATAATTTGTTTCCACTTACCTGCATATTGCCAATCAAATGTGCAAACAAAACAAGACCAACAATGGCAATGAGTATTGCAAATGATGTCTCCCCTATGAATGTGCTTGTTGACAAGTTTTGCCCATATGAACTGGAAAACAACATAAAATCAAATTCACCAAATAATTAGTTATTACTATTATACCCTACATCTAAAGAATGGTTTCAATTTCAAAATGTCAAACTTCCAAGATTATATTTAAGCATATTGGTAGACCTCCAATCAAGTTTATTTATGCTAGAACTAGAAGGAGAGAGAATTAAGAAGAACTGCTATCCTTTATGTTAGTGAGGGGCAAAAAAGTCTTTTCCTGTTATGAGCAAAACTAAGGGAGAGATCTAGCCTCTCGAAAGCTAGGAGACTATCTTGTAATCATTCAATTTGTTTTTCAATCATTTGATTCAATTCTAAAAGTGCATAGCACATACACTTTAAAGTTCAAAGATTAAATTTTGGCCATTAAATTATCTTGTTGACAATCTTTTCTTTAAAAAGGTTTTTTTTTGTAAAAGCCACCCAACAACATTGTACTTTTAACTTCTTTTTTTCTCTTATTAGCACATTATACTTTGAAAAAGTCACACAATTACAACAAAAGTACATTATTGACTTATTGTTTCTTGCATTTAACCCAAATAAACAATCAAAAAAACTTAAAAGAAACACATATACCTTAGTTGTTGTAATCCCCACCACAAACAATAGAAGTACTTATGAAAAATACTTGAGGAAATCACATTTTTCTGCACTGCATTTTGGAATATTCCATACTTAAAAGGCAAATCATCATCACCTGTACACTGCTCAAAAACATTTGTCACTTTTGCCCAATTTTTTCTCTCAATATCATTGATTGTGCTACAATCAAGATAACTAGCTTTACATGATGCTTTTTCATCATTGCAAATAGATTTCCAACATGACAGGTGTCGATCAATTGATAACAAATACCATGCTGCCCCCAATACCTAATTATGAAAAAATCGATAAATTGTTATTATTTATATTAAAAGGGTATATACTATATACAAATATAAAATTATTATACATACATGACTAGCCAACATGTATAACATTAAGTTATATGCAGCTCCTGCCCAAGCTGTTTTTGTTACAACTCCAGTTGCTTTGACTAATTCAGAACTTAAAGGAAAGATTAAATATAATCTTGGAATATATTGTAAAAGAACAATCAAAGCAAGGGCATTATTATTGTGATTGGCTTTCGAGTTTCTTGTTGCAGGTATAATGAACCATATAACAATCTGCACAAAATAACAAAATGTTAAAATCCAACTTCAATTAACACATCAAGAATGTAAAAAAAGAAAAAGAATTGTTACAATTTTGGTACAATTTTGTTACAAAGTACCTGAGGAAGAGGGAGAGTTGCAATTAGATCAATGAAGAAATCGGTTCTAATGTATCTTTTAGCAATCTTTTTTGGATCCATAACAAGTTCACCTCTTCCAAAAACACGTGAGCTAGGGGCAATGTAAGCTGTTCTAAACTTAATTGCAACATGTAACATGTAAAACAAATCTGCTAATGTCCGAAAAGTAGTCACAACAATTCGGAGATTTAAATCGGTTTTCACACACCAAGACTCTTGATTTTCTACTATGCCAGGTAGATAAAAGTATAATGGATCGATAAATAATGCCAACAAGCATGAGACTATGAAAATTCGGTTCCATTGTAACACAATCTCACTACCAGGATCAAGTATTCGTTTCTGCCATGGCTCATGATCTTCAGGGAATAAGTTGCTTGTTGTTGTTATTGTTGTTGTTGTTCCATGTTTAGGGTTTGTGGGGAGATTGAGTTTTCCCCTAACTGGTAATTTTAGCAGGGTGGATTGACCATTGTACCCTGAAGATGACTTTTCAAGGTGTAAAGGCTCGGTTTTTCCCCATATAACATCGTTATTTTGTTTGCCATTAGCATAAAACCTGCAAATATGATCATGAATGGGGTTTTAATTGAAGTTGTTTGAATCTATTTGTTGCTAGGCATAAAAACAAACACTTGGATGGCAACGAAGAACACCACGTTAAACCATACAAAAAGTAGATTTGTTGTTTCATGATTCATGCATCTTTTCGTTTCGTAAATCTGAGTAAATTAAACGAGAATTGTAACAGAAGATCGAATTTTGAAGAACACCAACTTTGTTTTCTCGTCGATAGGATTGAAATTCCAAATATATAGGAAGGTAAGAAAAAGAAAGGCTTAGATCAACACCAACCTGACGAGCTTCTCCTTGTTTAGCTCCATGGGAGCTTGAGTTGAAGATTTAAGAGTAATAGTCAGCCGCCAGTCACGAGTCACCACAGGCGATTGAAAAATGATAAATACATACTCATACAGAAACGAAGATCATCGTTGAAACAGAAGAAGCAACGAAGCTCAAGAAAAAATCAACAACCAGCAGAAAAAAAAAAGATTGAAAAAGCGGAAAAACCCTAATTGAATCACTGTTGTAGGTAAATCTTCATTGGTTTTGGGGAAACTTCAGAAACGGGGAAAGAGTGAAAGTGACGATCGATGAGCGAGCAATTATTGAGTGAGATGGGTAATGGATTTGTTTCCAGAAATCGTAAAATATGGTAGGAATTTAAGAATAATCGGTTGTTAAAGACACATTCTAGGAATGTTAAAAGGGTATAATCCGATGTGATTAAAGAAAGCAAATAACGAATTCTTACCGATAATGAAGCAGTGTGATTTGTGGGAAAGGTAAAGTAGAAAGGTGAAAGAGCATTAAAGAATAAAGATTTCGAAAATGGTGTCTGAATCACGAGTAAACCAGTGTGGGAGCAAGTGAACAGTGGGCCCAGTCATCGTTGTTGACCCACGAGTCACGACACTATAAGTTAAGGGAATTTTCTGAATTTGATAATTCTTTAATTAGCAATGTTTACAATTTTATATCATTGTATTAGTAATGTCTTATTTATGTCAAATTAATTAATGTGAACACTCAATTTTTCAACAAGACTATGATTAGAATAAACCATTTGTAATATATTAATCATCTCATGTTCATTTGATCATTGGATCTTAATTTTGTGGCCAAACTCAAAATAGTTCTAACTTGTTTTTCTTGTGAGTAATACAGGTTTAGTTAGAGGGATCTAGAAATTTTTTTATATGCAGCAAAATAAAGTTCCAAGTGTTACAAGAAAGTTAAATTGAACGGTACTACTGCTAATTACAACTAGTCAACTACCATCACCACTTAACCACAACCATAACCATAATTGTTGGAATATGGTGGTTTTTTATAAAACAAATGCCAAAGAAGCAAAATCAAAATATATACCATCATATTGCATCAAGGATGACAGGCTCATATATCTGAATGCAACAAAACCTAAAACCCTACAAAAATAGTAAAATGGTATCCTTTTTGTTGAAACAGTTCATTGCTTTCTTTTGTATAATCGGAGCCTAAACCAGAACTTTTATAATGTGGAATAGGGATGATATTCGGGTCGGAAACGGACCGAACCAACCCGAACCCGAATAACCCGAAAAGCGAATAAGGGTAATTGCATGAGCTGAAAATCGAACCACATAACCAATACGGGTTCGGTTCGGTTCGTGTATTAATCGGTTCGGTTCGTGTATTAATCGGTTCGTTTCGGTTATTACCCGAATAGCATGTATAAGATAATTAAGGACCTAATATTACCGACTAAACCGTGTTAGGATTCCATAACCCGAATAGTAGAATAACAATGTACTTTTATACGTCAACGTAAAACATTCAAAGACTAACATAACACAATAACACATTAAAAGAATAACATTTACATAGTAGATTAACATAAGGAGAATTAATTTCTTACTTGAGTTTCTTGAGTTGGCGTCTAATTTTTCATAACTAGACAAAGTAGGAATTCGTGAATCCTTAGAGACAATAGGAAGGGTCGATTTTTGAAAGTTTGAAACAAAAAGGAAGGATCAACATAAGTGATTTCAAGTTTGGAAATAGTTGAGAAGATTGGTCAATTTTGAAATGAAAATAACGAGCATAGGTTTTTTTTCCCGTTATGAACGACGAGGACAGAAGTATGAATTGTGATTTTGATTTATGTCGATAAGAGAAAGGGGATGAGGAATGTTTATTCGGGTCGGGTATTTAGAACCGAATAAGCTCTTATTTGGGTAACCCGAACCGAATAAGCATAATATAGATACCCGAAACCCAAATCAAATTGCTCATTCGGGCCTAATTCAGTTCGGTTCGATCAGGTTTCAGTTCAGTCCGGGTTTTCGGGCCAAATTCTCATCCCTAATGTAGAAGCACCCCAATACCATAATCAAGCAAAAAACAACATCCTTACTCTTGCTTGATGTTAAAATGAGCCTAGAAAATGATGTTGTCTAGCAAACAGTGGAAGAGTTTTGGGAGTCTATGGAGTTAATCTCGACAATTCAACCGTACATAATGTTGGCATGGATGTTAGGAAACCTGTATCCAAAAATCTAGACATTTCGACCATTAGATCTTTGAAAAATAACCAAACAATGCACTATGTCTTCACAACAAATGCCAAAGAAGCAAAATCAAATAAGTTACCATCAGGTTCATATCTAAATGCAACAAATAAAACCCTAGAAAAGGGTAAAATGGTATACTTTTTGTTGAAATGGTTCATTGCTTTCTTTTGTATAATCGGAGAGCCTAAACGAGAACTTTTATAATGTGGAATAAGGATGTTATTCGGGTCGGAATAGGATCGAACCGCCACGAACCCGAAAACTGAATAAGAGTAATTGTAAGAGCCGAAAACCAAACTAATTAACCAATACAAGTTCGGTTTGGTTTGGGTATTAATCGGTTCGGTTCAGTTATTACCCGAATAACATGTATAAGATGATTAAGAACCTAATATAACTGAATAAACCGTGTTAGGATTCCATAACCTGAATAACAGAATAACAATGTACTTTTATACATCAACGTAAAACATGATGGGTTTTGAGCATTCTAACACTCCTATGGTGTACATGCAACCCTATAAACCTTTGATCCATGTTTTCTCTATTATAAATGTAAATATTCAATATTCCAAGGTTTCATACTAACTAGCATAATAAAAAGTATATATAATACAATAATCTAGTAGAATGACATACCTTTTGATGGAGCTTGAAGTCTTGAACCTTTAAGAGCTTAGTGCCCCCAAGTGTTGCACCTCAAATGGAATCACACAACACCAAAAACACTTGGAATAACTAGAGAATAAGGATACTTAGGTTCCTTCTTATGAAATCGGCCTTGCCCTTTTTTCTATGCACTAGTGCCAATTTCATGAACCAATGACCTCTTTATATAGTGTGGAGGATTAGGGTTACATTCATGTAAACCCTAATACCCATGACCTTTCATTTCCATAGGATCCATGGGCTAAAAACTTCATGGACTATCCATGCAAGCTTAGCCCAACCTAAATGAACTTAGCCCATCATATATGTATAAGAGTCCATATTTAATTAGTTCCTTTTTTATCACTAAATTAATTATAAATTAATTCTTGATTAATACTAATTAAATAATATGATTTCATATTAATATATTAGAGCTTATAATATATTAATATAAATCGTAAGCATCCTTTTTCTCATTTAGTCTATTCAATTGTTCCAATGCCATGAAACCCAAATGGACCATGCTACTTTCGGGTCGAGTACATACCAATAATAGTTATGAACTTAAACATCTAATCCAACAGTCTCCCACTTGGATAAGTCTAAAACTATTATTACGTATGACTCCAAGATCCCGACTAGAAATTGTAGCTCTTAAAGCCGCTGCCGAACTCTAAACTAGTCAAATGACTTGTCCATTAGATAAGGGATCATATATTTCTCCATTCTAGATATCATATGGACTGAGACATGGATTATAATCATTCTCTCTGTCCATTTGTTGTTTCCCGATTTCCGATTTATGACGACTGACTAATTGAACAAATCAAATCAGTCCAGGCTTGGCCAAGTTCTTAGGGGTGTCATCACTAAATCATCGAGGGACCCATAGATATCACTTTTATCCCTCCAAGGGTAAAAGGAATGGATAAAATTTGACTCATATGCTTGTTATACTACTTGTTGAATCATACATAAATGCACGTTTTATAACATTGAGTTACCAATGCGTTTTCGTGCAATGAATGTACAACCAACTCATAGTCAACAAGTCATATCTCTAGGTTTGAAGAATATAAGATATTATTGTCTCATGATCACTCGTGATAAAATCCATGAAGTGATTCAAATGAGTGTGGGCTTAATCCAATACTTAGAACTTATGAGCACTCATGAATGTTGTAGCAACTCTCTCTATGTCCAACACCTTAGACATCGACAAGCCAACTTCATGACAGTCTTGCCTTAATACCTACTTCCAACGTATTATCGATTGTGGATGGTTTGAATAAATTAGTCATTCGGGAAGAATGACCTAGGTATTTTGGAAGTCAAAACATGCAACGTGAGACACAAGAATAATCGAATCCAATATGGTCTCAGAACATATGAATATAAATAGAACACCTTTTATTCATCACCATATTGATTACACATTATTCATTGTATAATGTTTAAACTAATCAACTTTATACTTGAATCAAAACAATAGTTATGCCATGCTCTAAGCATGCACACTATGTTTATCCAAACAATAGTCATGTCATACACCAAGTATACACACTATGTATGTCCAAACATTATTTATGCCATACACCAAGTATGCACACTAAGTTTTTCCATGATCTTTACTTTGTGAAATAGTCCGATTGAACATAATTCCAATGATTCTCATTTCACAATCCCAAATCCTTACCGTAAATTTAAGAATTCCAAATTCCTGCTATTTACCGAAATCTGTTAGATTTTAAACTTATATGCACTAATCCTCTTGTAATGATTATGCACAAAGTCACAAAGACTTGTCAATAGTCATTATAGAGTATTCCACTGGAGATCAAGTCCATGGAAAGGAAATCTCATATTCAAAGTACATTGATTTGAACATCCTTCTTGCATTAAGTTTTCTAATCTTACACAGATTGAATAACTTCCACCTATGGATACATTTCCATATTCTCATTTTGACTATCACTTCTGAATTCCCCCATGCATTTAGAAAATTTAGAAATGATAAATATTATAGCACATGCATTTAGAAAATTTAGATTGTCCTCAACAATTGCTTAATCATTTTTAATCGTATCCAATTCTAGACCTTTTCCCCTCTTAATGCCCCATGCATTTAGAAAATTTTAGAAAGGATAAATATTATAGCACATGCAATCGATCCTATACCCGAAGCATATAGGGCACGATTCATGATGTCTCACATAAAGATATGATTCTAGACCAGTCTTTTGCTACAATATTTTTATTTGCCATGTTTTCATAATTCGACTATGAAGAGGGATGCCTTAATCATAATCAAATTTTGAGAATGCAATATATATATATATATATATATATATATATATATATATATATATATATATAGAATTTCCTTAAGTTGAGCCATTCCAACATAAAATTCATACATATATATATATGTATATATATATATATATATCCTTAACTAAAGATGATTAAAATCTCAATCTAAGCTTTTTAGAATTGAAACAAAGTATAATTTCCTCTCCCTTAATTATAGCAAAACAACTTTTCCCAATTGAAACTTTTGTTTTCTATAATTAATATTGCTAACTTGCAACACTTATCATAATTATCATGCTCCTACTAACATGATGATTATCAGTATAACACTTATGCTCCCACTAGCTTTAACATGTACTCAGAAATCAGCTGGACT